ATTATAGTGGAATTCTGTGGTATCGATACAGTAATTTATGATTTTTTGGTTATTTAACTGTATATATATATAAAACCTAAAAAAAATTACTTCGTTTCATATCCTCCATGTGTGATATTTTAAAAGGCTTAGCAACCTACATCAAGCAGCAATCAAGTACATATGTCATAACTAGAAGAGATAATTCTTTGTATTACTTCTTTATTTACTGTTCTATGTTTTAAGAAAAATATGTTTAAAAATTTATTTCTAAATGGTAATAATCTGTATACATATATAATGTATAATAATTGAAATGTGACTGTATTTCACAAAGTACCAGGACAGGTCACTTTGTAAAGACTAAAGGTCAGTTTTATATTATTGGATACAGTAACATGAGTACACATGTGCTGCATCATTGTAACCTCTGTATTGTTAGCCAGACATGGCTGAAAGGTCAATATAATAAAAATAATAAACAACTATTTTTAATTTTAAAATGAAAACTACTTTGCATGTTGGATAGGCAACATGTGAAAAGAAAAAAGGCATGAGAAAAACATTACTTAACAAACCTTAAGACTTAATAAAAAAAAAATTATATTTTGTGTTTGAAAGCATTGTAATGTTTACTGATAATCTGCCACATTTCATTAACATACACTTACTAATTTAAAAGTTATAGCATGAAAACTATAACAAGCACAAAATGATTATAAGTGCTGAAAGAGCCCGTGCTGAAAGAGTTATACAGAGATGAATGAGGTTTTCATTGTTATGCAATTTTAAAGCTCACATTGAACTTGTGAGATTTTATTGAAAATTATAAAAGTTTTGTTTGACATGTCCTATAATTGAGATGGTAGTGCTTTAAATGTAGTTGGGGTTTGTAAGTTTAAAATGAGTGATAGTAATCTCAGTCTTCTCATTCTGATATAACCCTTTTTTTTTTTTTTAATTTAACCTCACTTATGTGAAACACTTAAACTTGGAAAATCAAGTCAGAGTCTTTTGTTATTATCACTTAAGTTTAAAATTTTCTATTGCAGACTTTCATTTTAGGTTACCCTTCAAATATGTAAGGCTCTTAACAAAATGCATGCTCAAATTCTGTTTGGTTTCATTGTATTGGATGGAAGTTATTCATATCCCAGTGCAATTGCTTTAGAGAAAACTGTAGTTTATAACATTTGAGATAGCTTAGCCAATGATAAAGTGTATGTCTGATCTGATGGAAGATATTTATCTCCCAATACAACCAGTTTGGAGAAAACTAAGGTTATAATATTTGAGGTAGTTTGCTCAATTAAGGTGTATGTTTGATTAAATGGAAGTTGTTCTTCTCCCAATACAACCAGTTTGGAGAAAACTGAGGTTTATAATGTTTGATGTAGTTTGCTCAATTAAGGTGTATGTTTGATTAAATGGAAGTTGTTCTTCTCCCAATACAACCAGTTTGGAGAAAACTGAGGTTATAATGTTTGAGGTAGTTTGCTCAGTTAAGGTATATGTTTGATTAAATGGAAGTTGTTCTCCTCCCAATACAACCAGTTTGGAGAAAACTGAGGTTTATAATGTTTGAGGTAGGCTAGTTCAGCTAATTAAAGTCTATGTCTAATTTGATAGATGCTGTTCACCTTCCAGTATAAGCAGTTTAGTGATATATTAAGTTTATAACATTTGAGATAGTTCAGTGAGTTAAGGTGTATCTAATAAGTGAAGGTTTTTTACCTTCCAATAAAACCAATTTTATTACATTTGAGATATTTCGGTGGCTAAAACATATACCCAACTACTTGCCAGAGTCTTAAGTGTTTATACTCAATATAAAGTGATAATTCAGATCCTTGTTTGCTTTAAAACTTGAGTTTAGATATCCCTTCAGAAATGAAATTCAATTACACTGCGTTGATCTACTTAAGAATATTTATATAAAAAAATATGAATAACTGTTTGGGTAAAAAGAAACAACTGACTTTCACAATGAGCCCAAAATTGTCCAAGTAATGAAAGTGGATTGGTGTGGTTATTATATAAAACAAAAATTACACTAAAATCCTGGTGGGACTTGGTACTAAAGACACCACAAAACTCTTTGTGTATACTATTTTGGAAGCAAAAAAAGGTTTGCATCTCTTTACATAGGTGCATGAAAAAAAAACATGCTTAGGACTAATTTTACTTTGTTTTTTGGTAATCTTGAATAGCTAGCCCATTGAGATAATGATTGTTTGTTGAAGAATATTAAATTTTCTATTTAGGGGAATTTACACAACAGGTGTGAGTATTGTTGGTGGAGGAGTCAAAGCTCCACGCATTCGTACTAAAAACCTGGTCAGCATAATTTTCTGTGAAGCTGTAGCCATCTATGGCATTATCATGGCTATTGTACTTGTGAACCAGTTGGAGGTAAGTAATATTCTATGTTGAATGTTTTTTTATGAGTCGTAAGACAGAATTAATTTATCTATCTTTATACTGTACATAAAAAAAATGCATAGCACAGCCCAAGCAGCAGTGAACACTAGATAGTTCAAGAGGGTATAGTTGAACCCCAGTAATTTTTCTGCACCATTTATATTTAGCTTTGAAGGACACAAACCACAAACCTTATTTAACATAGAAAAAAAGGTGTTCTTAAAACATTAACTCTACAACATATTATATGAGTCAACCACAACTATTTAAATAATGAATGTAAGACATTTATTTTCATTCAAACAGTTGGTTATATTTGTTCTGTGTTCATTAACACACAAATCTTTTTTTTTAAACATGTCTATCCCAGGTTAACAAAATAAAGTATGGCAAGATCTAAAGAAATATATTTTCTCTCACTGTTATAGATAATTAACATTTAAAAAGATGTTGTCAGCAGATAAATATTTATGTAAATTGAAATCTACAAAGCACTGCTAGAAGTTTTGCTGTAATAACTTGAGGTACCTTTCTGTGTTATATCATCAATATCATTTCCCTAATGACATGACTTCTAGACACTCCCCAGTACTTTCAAGTGTGTTTGACACTGATCTTATGCATGACAAACAAGAAAGGCTCAAGTTCGAGTTGCATCTGTTTGATTTGAGTTTTAAATGTACTCTGACAGTATTTTATCATACTTTTCAGTCTCTTACAAAATTTAGTTTTCTTTAGTTTTCTAGAATAATTCCACATCCACATTGCAACTCTGGTATTTGGAATATCACTTAATGAGCATGTACAAAATATATGATTGAAACTTTGAATATTTTTGTTTTTGTATACATTTGCTGGTATTATTTTTGTAAATGTATGATGAGTGACATGGTGGTAGTCCTATGTTTTTGTTTGTCAAGTGAATTTGCCACTGTTATTTTTATAAAAGTATATTGAAAACTGTTATGATTTGGTTGTCGTCCTATGTTTTTGTTTGTCATGTGAATTTGCCATTTTGTTTTTGTAAAAGTATAATTAAATCTTTTATGACATGTCGATGAAATTACTTGAACCTAATGAAGTTAGGAGCACAAATCTTACCTTACCCGTAACCATGGTCACTTTCTCTTGCAACCTCAATTTTTTTTCCATTCTTTATTCAAGGTTTTGGTATTTATTCAAATGTAGACTATAATATGATAACCTGAAGGGTTTTTTTTTTTTGCTTTGTGTTTTTTCATTTTACAATTTACCAAGATTTTGAAAATGGGTTTATAAGCACATCACCTAAAAAAAAAAAGCATCAGTTATTCATGAGAAGAAACGGAAAAGGTGTATTTAGCAACACATGTTAAATATGTAAGTTTAGCAACCTAGTTCTGTGTTGTACAGTTCTTAGGTGTATTTTGCAGTTTACATTTGGGATGTCAGTCCAATAGATCTTACCTGGTTATATAGTAGTTGAAACAGTTGTTTGAAATGTATTTTAGTTTTCCTTTAAATGTGAGATAACAGATTTCATTTACATCAGAACTTGAGATTAAGAATTAGCATATATTGATATTAGGAAAGACACTTATTTTCATGCCCCAAGATACTTTAATAACTCATTTACAACTATGAATTGTATTTAATCCTGTTGTAGATAATTCCTCTCTCTTTCTCTTCTTTTTTAATTGCAGAAAATTATGTAGAATATTAATGTAAGAAAGCAAACAAACTTAGAAGTTACATAAGAATGCCTTTGAACTCAAAGATTTAAATAATAAACTCCTCATATTAGTGTAAAAACTGTGTGAGGTGGGCTTATATTTGTTTGTGTATTCTTTCGTTACAGTCAGTAAATCATTCTTGATCACGCTGTACCCACAATTACTTGCAATATTATGGTGTCATTCTTTACTTTATAAGTACTGTATATTTTTCTGTATGAAAATAATTGACCTCCTGTTGTTTGTATTGTTGTTGCAGAGTTATGACATCAAGAAAAGTGAAATTGATATTGACATGAAGGCTAGGAACTACATGTCTGGTAAAACTCTCTATTCTATTTTCTTACAGCACTGAGTAACGTAGTTAAATACATAATATTTAACATAACTTATCATCAGGTAGTATTAATAAACATAAGGCAAGATGATTTTGTTTGTGATCGCACAAAGGTTTTGTTGTTGTTGTTTTTTTTAATTATTTTCCATATTTGTAATTCCAAATTTGGTATATTTTTACAAAGTGAAATGCTTTTCATTGAAATAAACTTGAAACAAAATCACTTCTGACTTTTAACAGTAGTTATTAATATGTTTTACTAAAAAAAAATGGCCAATGCTTATTCTGGTATTTTGCTCAACAATGACTAAAGCTCAGTTTCATACTGTGTTTTCTATTCAGTTTGTAAACAGATTGATTATCCAGGATCTTTTGCCAAAAGAAAGCAATGATCTCCCCCCTACACACACAAATTATTAAATGTTAAAGATAACTGCTTCACAAGACCACCAGCAGAAAAAAATGTTAAAAGTGCATTTTGAATATAACAAATTCTGTCATGTATTACTGTGAATGAGTTTGAAGGTAAAACATCATCCTATGTAATCCTAAGATAATTGGAAAGGTAGCTGATCGTAAAGTCATTATGTCAAACACTATGCTAAACACAAAAAAGCCTAGAAAACTAGATTCAGATTTTGATTTTCTATAAATTCAGTGAACAGTGTAATGTACAAGGATATGGTTCTAATACAAGAAATATAAAATTTTATATAGATTAGGCATGTAAAAAGTTCAGTTATTAAGGAAATTGCCTGGAAAGCCCTAGAAAAAATTTTAACATAGTCAAGTTTCTTGGGAAAGCCCTAGAAAGCATCAGTAAATTAAACCTTTCTGCTTTCATCTATCATTTTAAATTTTCTCGTTCACAATCCATAACCAACTTATATGTATGAAATGTCACAGGGCAATTATAGCTACTTCCTAGAAACTGAATCTGCAATAAGTGATTAACTATCTGAATGTATTTGGTGTTATAATGACTCTGTACTAAAATTCTGACCAAGCATCTAATAATGAAACTTGAGTATAAAACAGAGATCATTCACAATTTTCACCATTTTCATGAGCATACACAATGTATGTGTTTCCAAGACCACCAACACTTCTGAAACATACAAATAAAACAAAATGTTTTTAAAAAGAGGTTATCAGACTGACATACAGAAAACAGTTAAGTTTACAAAAGTTCTTTGATTGCTTATCAGTAAGATTGAGGCTTAAAATATTAAAATCTAGGGTTCAATTCCCACAGTAGACACCTTAGAGATAGCCTATTGTGTAGGTAAATGTATGTGCAATGTTTTGGCTTTAGGCCGGCATCAGGCAGTTACCAACTGACTGACATACGATATGGCTGAATGATTTATTTTTCTTAAACACATCAATATGGTATTTATGTAAATAAGTGTATACTTGGAAAACCTGCAGTCTTAAAACAAAACTATTACCTCAGAGTTTTAATAAGTGTGTTGTAATGTTAACTTTATATTCTGTAATATGTTTTTAAAAAAATGACAAGTTTGTGAGACTTTATTTTTCTTCAGTTCTCATTACTATCCAGTTTAGAACATGGATGGTTCTTTGAAGTTATCACAATATCTCTTATTTTGATTTATTTTTCAGAGATTATATACAATTTCTTAATGAAAATGCTACGGATTATTGAGTTACTTTTCATGATTTTGGTCTATTCTGTTTTTACTTCTAATTCTATACCTTTTTTTTTCCTTTTATTAAAATTTTTATCTACTTTTGTTGTACGTTGCGGTGTAAGGTAGTATGTACTAAATACTTTGACATTTCATTCCTACTATAAAAAAATGAAACATTTTAATGTTATTTCTATGTGTATTTTCCAGGATATATCATGTTTGGTGCTGGTATGACTGTGGGGTTATCTAATCTTTTTTGTGGACTGTCAGTGGGTATTGTTGGATCTGGAGCTGCTTTAGCTGATGCTGCTAACCCTGTTCTCTTTGTAAAAATTCTGATTGTGGAGATTTTTGCAAGTGCAATAGGATTGTTTGGTCTTATTGTTGCCATCATTATGGTAAGTATACTTGGGTAATCAAAATGGTGAAAATATCACAGGGGAAATTGTGTGTTTGAAAACCCTGGTATGATGTGAAATATTTATGTATTTAATTTGCCGTCTGTTATCTCAATGGTTTGGTACTCTTAAGGAAATACTTGATAGTAAAATAAGGTAAATACAGATAGTATTTAGATTGACCATATCAAGGTTTAATGTGTCAAATTGTAATAGTAATATTTATTGTGGAACTTAGAAAATACACAAGTTTGTGTATATGATCAAAACCCAAAACATACTCCAATTTGAGTTGTATATTGAGGATTGGAATCCCATTGACTAGAGAAAAATGTTATGTTATTTAACCTCAGACTTAAATAATTTACCAACTATCCCCCTCCCAGTGGCTCAATGGTAAACTTGAGGGCTTATAACATAAAGATGAAATTTGGAGTTTGATTCTTCAGTGGGCTTAGCACAATAGTCCATTATGTAGCTTTGTGTATGATCTATCATAATTTTAACCTTAAGTGTAATTCAGTTAAGCTATCTTATTTTTAACATGTTAGAATTGTTTCTCACAAGTATGCATTGTTTTCTGTGTGTATTGTTTTTTTCCAAAACATTTAGTTTAGTTCTAAACATTTAGTTTAAAAAGTATTTACTTATTTTGAGTCATAAGTACATGTTTGTTGATTAGTACTAATTTTAAGTTTATTTTGTTTGAATCAGAATAATATCTTAATTGTTTTGTTTTTTCAGACTTCACAGGCTAAGATGGGAAAGTAAGGCATGAAAAAACATCTCTATGTATGCTAGCTGCTTAAAACCATTCCAGTCTCATAAATTGTGTATCAAGCATGTTTGAATATATGTAAATGTGTGTAGGATCCATTTATTTATGCTGCTGTTTCTTATGAAACAGACTTAGGTGTTGTGTAGGTACCTATTTGAAATTGTATGTATGAAAGTTGTTTTCATAAATACTTGCAGGATAATTTTTGTGGTAACAAATTTTTTGTTGATGGAGTTTACCGATCTCCATTAACATGCGATGACTTCATATTACAGCCTGTGGATTACATCATTTGTCCACTGGCTGCTACACTGATTAAATGTATTTATTTCCCTTGTTCATAGCTATAATGTAATATTGATAATGATATAGGACTACATTTGTATAAGAGAGAGAGTGTTGGGTTTTTCAATCATGAGTTGCTGTTAAAAAATCCAGTTTGGTTATCCTTGCCAACTTTCAGGTAAATGATCTAATTTTAAACTGTTAAAGAATCCACTTTGGCTAACCTTGTCAACTTTTAGTTAGCTGTTAAAGAATCCACTATGGCTAACCTTGTCAACTTTTAGTTAGCTGTTAAAGAATCCACTTTGGCTAACCTTATCAACTTTCAGGTAAATGATCTAATTTTAAACTGTTAAAGAATCCACTTTGGCTAACCTTGTCAACTTTTAGTTAGCTGTTAAAGAATCCAGTTTGGCCAATTTTTAAGTAAATGATCTAGTGTTAAAATACATGTTTTTAAGGTTTAAATTTTAATAAAATGATTCTTGGAAAACATACAATTGGAAATTAGGGGACATTATTTTATAACTTTCTAGTATAACCATGGAAATATAAACACATAATGGGTTGAAAGAAGACTATGGTATAGATGATATTTGTACAGAAATGTGGTTAAAGTTACGAAGAATAATTCTAGACGACAAATTTTAATTTATTTGTGGCTCAAAATTGTGTAATTCTAAAATGTAACATGTGATAAAACATTAAAATTTACTTAAATTCAGATACACTTAATGATCTATTAAATAGTTGTCTTACATCTACTGAATACACAGTTAATATTAAATTATCAGTATATATGTACTTTTACCTAATGTTTCTTGGTTTTCATATTTCATGTTAAATTTGTAAATCATGTGTTTTGAAACCTTTCATTCTTAAGGTTTCAAGCATAGGCTGCTGTAACCACTTCAGTAATTTTTTTTCCTCTGTTGTTATTATTTGAAATAATAAAATTACCTAGTTAATACTTGATATCTAGATTGTTCTGTGTGTGGCACTGTGGGATATACTATGTAGCTACACAGTATTTGTGACAATTTGCTGAACACCAATGAAATTTATTTTGAAAAACTAGAGTGACTATATTCTTAACCTAGAAATTATTATCTAAAAAAAAATGGTGAAATGAGTAGGAATATTAAATACTTTTTCGAAGGATATTGTATGTAAATTCATAAGATAAACACATGAGAAGTATTTCAGCAGGCTTCAGAAGGAATCAATGATAACCTTGTTAAAGATAAAAAGAGGTAAATATAAAATACGATGGACCAATCATGTTTGTTCGTCAAAATCAATCCACTTCACAAGCTCTAGAATGAATTGGTAATAACCATGTTAAAGATAAAAAAAGAAGCATGTATAAGATGTCAAAGGACCAATGATGTTTGTTCATCAAACCAAACTGCTTGTGGATGGTTTCTTTATTAACTTGACATTTCTTATCTGTATTTGAATCTGGAATTAGGAGATTAATATTTGGATTTAGTACTTATGTGCTTGATAAATATATAAACAGTGAAAATGTGGAGATTTGAACATGTCCCCCTCCCCTCCTCAAGGCTTAAGTGCAAATACCATTGTATAAACAGACACTACTCAAATAGTTGTTTATGGCCCCCCAGTGGTACAACAGTATGTCTGCAGACTTGCAACGCTAGAAACCGGGTGGGCAGAGCACAGATAGCCCATTGTGTAGCTTTGTGCTTAACTTCAAACAAACAATAGTTGTTTATGTAACTTTGTAACTTCTGTTGTGCTTGTAATAAACATATTAAAGTTTCACTTAAAAACAAGTGTGTGTGTTTAAAATCAGGTATGTTTGTTCAACTGTACATAATATTAATAGTATACTGCCATTCTGTTGTTGGTCTTAGGACGAAATAAGACATTCATTCTAGTTTGTGTGTGTGTGGCTCATTGTCAGAATTTAAAATAAAAATATATCTTTCCTTTTTGCCAGTTGTCAAATAGAAAGGCTTTTAGTTGTATTTCTTAATAGTATAAATATATACTATGTTGTTATTGGGCTTAGGATTCTTCTACAGTATGTGTCTGTGACTTGTTAGCGATAAATTCAACGATGAATAAACAGCATGCACTTCACTTGCTTTTAATATAATATATATACTCAGAACAAGTTAACGTATGTACAATAAATTCTTCAACACTAGATATTATGAACATATCATGAATAATATATATGTAGTTCTCTCCTTGTCAAATATCCACTTAGGCCTATTGAATTACCTTACAATTTCAGTTGACAAGACGAACTGTCTTCTTTATTTCTGTTGCACTAGTATTCTCTGTGATTCACTTAAAATTGTGGTGCGAGTTACTGTAATTGTTTGGTCTTCTTTCTTTTGAAGATTCTCTGTCCCTTTTGTCAAAGTGTACTCAGGCTGATTCGATTACTTTAGAACCACGCTTTGACGGAATAAAATTATTTTTATTATCTTCTTTTCTACTGTTAGTTTCACTCTTAACATATTAAACATTAGGTTTATCACATCTACAGCGCCAACTTTATCCTCTTTCTGGTATTATCTGTCTGCTGCTTCCTGCTCTTCTCATGCTATTTATATCATTATCACTAACTCGTCTGCCCACCTTCTATATTCTCGACGTCAATGAATTATTAACAAAACTACCTACATTCACTGCTTTTAACTCTTATTATAACAAACACTAAACAATAATAAAATGTTCATTCACAAAAATAAATTAATCACTAGTATCTAAACCAAACAGTCTTTTATATTATGACACTCATTGATCAGCATTTATCCAAGTATTAATCACTAATTGTTTTTTTTTTTTTATAGTTAACAATTATTATGAAGCATTGTACATATGAAAACTGTGATGTTGATATTTCGTTACATGTGAAGTATGAGGTAATAAAAGAAATAGATAAATGTTCTCATTCATCAACTTTTTATTTTAAACAAATTTGTAGCAACAATTCAGCTTTCATTCAGTACAGTCCACGGAGTTGTGGTAGTGTGGACTTCGTTTACTGAGTTATCATTTAACAGAACTTCCCAGTGTCTGAAGTCCTGGCTTAATTCTAGATTTTTGACTAGTGGATATTATTGAAGTCTTAACTGACAGGTTTTCTTCAATAACAACCATCGAGACTTGACAACAGATTTTCCTAGTTTGTAGACATACGAGTTAGGTAATGACATTTCAAGGAAGCGAAAAGCCACAATTTTGGGGGAAAATTTTATTCTATCGAAAGATGTATTCAAGGATGTGAGATCTGTCACGTTCTTCCTGTTCTTAATAACATTCACTACCGAGTTTTAACTTGATAGATTCTTCTAGTTTCTAGGAGTCGACAGCTATTGAGTTTCATTTAACAAGTTCTTCCTGTTCTTAATAACATTCACTACCGAGTTTTAACTTGATAGATTCTTCTAGTTTCTAGGAGTCGACAGCTATTGAGTTTTCATTTAGCAAGTTCTTCCTGTTCTTAATAACATTCACTACCGAGTTTTAACTTGATAGATTCCTCTAGTTTGTAGGAGTCGACAGCTATTGAGTTTTAATTGAGCAAGTTCTTGTTCTTAATAACATTCACTACCAAGTTTTAACTCGATAGATTCTTCTAGTTTGTAAAAGTCGATAGCTATTGAGTTTTCATTTAACAAGTCAAAGCAAATAAAACATTTCTAAACGTCTCTGAACGTATGGAATTGTGTATTGCTCACTTGAAACGTCATTTTTCTTCTCTTATTAGGAGACCTTGAGTGTAACTTGGTTAAATACATCTTTTCCTGTTGTTTGGAACTCTTCTTCTCTTGCCCCCCCCCCTCAGTGGAACAGCGGTATGTCTGCAGACTTACAATGCTAGAATCCAGGTTTCGATACCCATGGTGGGCAGAGCACAAATATTCCTTTGTGCAGCTTTGTGCTTAACTAGAAACAATCTTCTCTTTATATATATATATATATATATATATATATTACGCTCGTGCTGCTATCTGTTGTTTGGAATATGAAATCATATTGAAATATTTAGTGTAACACTTCAATATTAACTAATACATTTGAACAACTTTCTTAACATTTGTATTTCACGCGAGAATCTTGTCATGCTTCAGCAACGGATGTTTGCGGCGTTAATATGTGCAGTAAATAAGGTAACTCAAGTTTTCAAAATCTAACAACGAGAAGTTGAAAAAGCTGTTTTTCGAAAATCTTTTAAGAAATAATCGGGGAATTAAAAAAATAGAAGCAAGAGTAAGCTGTGTTCTTCAAATTTGTATTTGTTACTTTGATTTGAAATATATTCTGCATAGTGGACTATTATAATACATAGGAACCAAACCTCAAGACTTTTAGAAGATCTTGTGTTATAAAATTTAAAAAGAAAATTAAAGAAATTACGAAGCAAAATAAGATATTCAGAAAATGGATGAAACTGAATAGCTTTTTTGAAAATTTTTTTACTATATTCCTATAAGTGAATGATGATGTTAAACGGGACAGGGGTGTTGAGTTTAAAAAAATAAAAAATAGAGTTCGAAAAAATAATTTTCATCGGACTTACAACGCTAGAAACCGGGTTTCGATACCCGTGGTGGGCAGAGCACAGATAGTCCTTGTGTAGCTTTGTGAATAATTAAAAACAAACAAAAAAAAACAATTCTCATTGGCCAACAAAGACAAACAAAAACTTCTGATATCCAATAGAATCGAACAAAGAGTAGAAATCAGCTTCGTGTATCACAGTGACTTGCAAAGTGTTGTGTGGTGATCTAAGTTTCTGCATCTCGGGATCAAACCCGGGATTATTTCCAAGTGCTCTGCCAACCAAATTAACCCACTAACTATTCATAGTAAGACACGTTTTAACATTTTAAACTATCACATTTCCCACCTCTCACAAACAAGACTTATAAAAAAAAAAAGAATGTGGGACGATCACCTGCTGAACATGTGGTAATCTCCAGGGCTCGAGATCTCTTGTACACTTGGTGAGTGCTCTGCCAATCAAGCTAAGGTACTAGTTGACAACTCAAACAAAACAGAAGATCAGAATTTGGGAATAACGAAAAAATTTAAATGATAAAACCGTAATTGTTAGTTACGGATTTCGCGCAAAGCTACACGATGGCTATCTGCGCTAGCCGTCCCTAATTTAGCAGTGAAAGACTAGAGGGAAGGCAGCTAGTCACACCACCCACCGTCACATTATAACGCCCCCATGGCTGAAAGAGCGAACATGTTTGGTGTGATGGGAAGTCGAACCCGCGACTAGTGTTGACTAGCTATCTTCCCTTTAGTCTATCGCTTGAAAATTATCAGTGATGGCTTAGCGAAGACAGCCCTAGAAATTCGACAAACCAAAATTACATTGGATAAAAAAACAAAAATATATGTAGTCCTTAAAGGAGTTGTTTTTGTAGTTTTCATCTGTACTGTTTTATAAACTTTAAACTATATATCTATATATATTTCAAAAAGCTACACTAGGGTTGGGGAGAGGGGACAAGACTACCATATTTCATGTTTACAGTACATTTAGTTCTATATTTCAACGTACATAATGTTTTGCCGACTGTAATAACTAAACATATTCAAAAACGAAAATGATACCAGCAATGGATTATAAGTAACATTAACCTAGTTGATTAGTTCGTCTAACTTTGCAACATATTTTGTTTAGTTTAGTTTTATTCATTACAGAAAGTGAGACACACTAAAAGCTCAGATTAAAATTTTCAAATGTATTTTTTTGTACAGTAGCACGTCACTACAATAGTCTTTAATAATGATAGTAACGTGATATATCATTAATTTGTACTCTTTTTTTTTTTTTTTTAGTTTTAAACGGTAAGGATATTTATTGTTATTCGTTTCTATCGCCCTTGCCCCCAGTGGCATAGCGATATGTCTGCGGACTTATAATGCTAGAAACCGTTTTTTTCGATAGCTGTGGTGGACAGAGCACAGATAGC